CTGTATGAGTGACAATGACTCCTAGCTGAAGACAGCATTTGGTACCTCATTCTGTTGATCAGCAGAGATTGGGACAGCTGAAGATAGAGCACTTAGCAGCAAAAATGTATTAGAATTAAAATAGTTATCTATAACTCAAACTATAGTTTTAGTGCCCCCTCCATCCCACCCCCCACATACTGAATTAAACCCCTTTCTTTCCCTCTCCACATAAGCACTTGAGAATTGCTCAGAGCTCTGTGTGTCTTTTATAGGGTGGGGGCCCATTTTATTCCCGCTGCATTCAAAAAATGAAACAAAGCCTCTCTAGGTAGGAGGAATATCTCTTTACAAATTGAAGCTTACCCCCAGTTCTAGTAGGCCTTCATGAATCTGGCAGCTAGTTTGTATTCAGTGTGTTGCTGTCATTCATAAAATGGCATCTTACTTATGAAAGAGCTTCAAACATCCTGCTTCTTGTGACTTCCCTGTCCTAGCATGGGGGTAATTGAATTGGGGAAATCTTTATTTCACTCTCTGCTGGCCATAACATGCAGAGATAACATTGGTACAGAACCAGCCTATTATAGAGGGCACTGATTATACCTAAGGATTTTTTTAAAAAGACTAATTTATCCATTATGCTGTCTAATATTTGCCATAGTAAAAATGAATAATAATAATTTAGATACAATTTAGGCCTGAGTCTAGCATTGCAGTTTAAGGACACTTGTTTGTTAACTCAGTGGTAATAATGCAAATATTAAATTATTATGTGGCGGAACCCTAATGCCCCAGTGAGGATTGAGGCCCCATTATGCTAGATGCTGTACCCACACATAAAACAAGGTCCTTACCCTGCAGAATATATAATCTAAAAACACAAGTCAGACAAATCCTAATACACAGATGTGAGCAAAACATAAAGGTACTAATCTTATTACTTACATTTGTTTCCCCCATGAACCATCCCTTCTACCACCATCTCCCTAATTAACTATTGGAACAGATTACCAAGGCATGTGGTAAATTCTTCAGCACTTGCAGTCTTTAAATCAAGATAGGAAGTCTTTCTAAAATGCATGATCTCGTTAAGCTGCAAGTTATTAGGCTGGAAGCAGGAACCACTGAGTGAAATTCTATGATTCATGTTTTGCAGGAGGTCGGAGTAGATTATTTATATTTCAGTAGCACCTATGAACCCTGCATATAGACCAGGACCCCACTGTGCCTGCCATTGTACAAACACAGAACAAAGAGACGTAGTACCTGCCACAAAGAGTTTGCCGTCAGAAAACAGACAACAGGTGGATACTGACAGATGGGGCAGCAGAAGGAAACAATGAGACAGTATTGGTCAGCATGATAGGCAGCAGTCTCACCATACTTGCTGCCTAGCTATTGTCGGGTTTTAGCAGGCAGATGATTTTGGAGATTATTACAAAGTCCCATCTGTCCTTGAAATATATGAATCCTTCTGTTTGGGTTCCTCGGCCAATATGCTCCTCCACTGCTGACTCAAAGTGCTTCCCTTTCAACCTCTATGGCCCTTTCTATTCTATTTTATTTTAATGCTTGCCTGTTGCCTCACCCTTCTGTATGTCTCCTTCCCAAGGCTGTTTCAGACCCTAATCAGCATCTACACCTTCCCTTATTCCTCCTTTGTGCATTTTCAGTAAACTTCACAGTTTTGCTGTCAAGGGTTCTGAGAGCATCCTAGGTCTCTGATGGCCTGCTCCCTCTGTCCCAGTGCTGCTCTGGTTGCTGCTGCTTGGGGCTGACTCTTGGGATTTAATATCTTCTACTGTCTGCATGTTTTGGGACGGCTATGGGGATATTACAAAACTATATGGCATAAATTGTCCAAACCTTAGGATAATGTAAGTGTTTGCTAGGGTTTGAAGAATGAATTCCACTCTCTAAGACCATCTTTACTATCATAGAGATGGAAAAGACTTACTAGGTCATCTAGTCTCTCTCTTTCTGGCCTTACAGGATTCTTCCCTGCAATGCATTCTCGAGTGCTTTGCCCAGTCTAGTTAAATAATGGAATTTCCACCACTTTCTTTGAGAGAGTAGGCTACTTACTAGCTCTTGCTTTCAGGAAAAAATTATTGATTTATTTTTTTTCAGCCTAAATTTTCTTAATTTCTGTCCTTAGCTCCTAGTTATAGTCCTTGGATTGTTCTAAGGAATTCCTTTCCCTACTCAATGTTCACATCCTTAAATCTTTTGTAGGTTATGAAAAACCTGTTCTTTTTCTGAAGATAAAAGAAGAAATAGGTTTTATCAGGACTTCCTTCCTTCCTGCCCCCATTTCTGCACCTCTGTATCACTGAAATATTTACATAAACATAATTTATATTTGAAAGCACTAGGCTGTGACTGTGATTGAAAACATTTACTACTTTAAAATGTAAAAAGGGAAGCAGGGAGACCCTCAAAGTTTTTATGATGTCTACCAGGAAACCAAGAGTGACAAAGTGGTCTAAGGGCTTGTCTACACTGGCACTTTACAGCACTTTAACTTTCTCGCTCAGGGGTGTGAAAAAACACACCCCAAGCGCTGCAAGTTTCAGCACTGTAAAGTGCCAGTGTAGACAGTGCACCAGCACTGGGAGCCATTCCCCTCGTGGAGGTGTTGTATTTTTCCTAGCGCTGGTGCCGCGACAACACAGCCACCTTAAAGCGCTGCCGCAGCAGCGCTCTAACATTGCTAGTGAAGACATGCCCTAAATTCTCAAAGAGAGAGGGGCATAACTAGGGGGAGGGATTAACTGTTGAGAATGGATGGAGTTATGAACTTGAAGGATGGAATTGGTTTGGCAGAATGTAGGAGCTTCTGGAAGATGAACAGGGCATCTGATGATGTTTCCATATAAAGCTAGCTAGTTCATCTTATTTTTCAGTCTTCATATTTTTGCATTTACTAGGTGGCTGCTTCTCATTCTAACTCTAATAAATGTGTCAACCTGTGGAACTCCTTGCCTGAGGAGGATGTGTACGTTAGGACTATAACAGGGTTTAAAAGAGAACTAGATAAATTCATGGAGGTTAAGTCCATTAATGGCTATTAGCCAGGATGGGTAAGGAATGGTGTCCCTAGCCTCTGTTTGTCAGAGGGTGGAGATGGACGGCAGGAGAGAGATCACTTGATCATTACCTGTTAGGTTCACTCTCTGGGGCACCTGGCATTGGTCACTGTCGGTAGACAGGATACTGGGCTGGATGGACCTTTGGTCTGACCCAGTATGGCCGTTCTTATGTTCTTTCTAGCATTCAAAATTGAAGCTCCAGATCTATACCCCAAATTCACCCTTGTGAAGGAGGTTGTCTTGTGTTTTTGTTGCATCAGAATGTTGGAAAATCATGGAAGCAAAGTCATGGAAGACAAGAGAGTCGAATTGAGAATTTTGTCAACTTTTAAAATGCCTGTACTGTCCAGCCAGCTCTCTCTCAGTTGAGTGTGTGTTTTTAGCATGGCTGAAATTTTGTGATAGGCAAGTGACTGTAAAAAGCAAGTAAGTTGATGTAGATATTGATACTGAAAAGCAGGTACAAAAGAGTGGTAGGACCTCACTAGTTAGTAGGCTGGAGACTCTGTTGTTGTGTTCTTTTAAGTTAGTTACACAGTTATGAACTTTTCATTTTGGACAATAAGTATGCCCTCTTATGTTTCAGGAATAAATCTGCTTAAAAACTGACTTATATGGTTTGTGGTTTGGTTTTGTTTCATAAAACCTTTTACTTCCCCCTATCTCCTCCCCCCCTTTTTTTTTTGGTGGAGGTTGGGGATGGTTGAAGAAAATTATAGAACAAAAAAACCCCCATACCTTTTATATAAAATAGGCCTAGCTTGCCTGTATTAATGCTGCATCATGGGTATTTCCTGAATGAGTAGGTGAACTCAGATTGAAACATATTTTTTTCAGGTTGCGTTCTCTTTTGGATTCCTCTTAAAAATTTCTCTGACTCTAGAGTGTCACTTGTCCAGATGTGTGCTGTATAAAAGTGGGTGGGGACTTTTAAAGCTGACATTAGGAACTTAATAGTGTACCAAAACCTACTGCTGTGGAAGCTTAAAAGTGACCACCAATATGATAAACTTGGTTTTGTTTCTACTTCTTTAGTTTTGTTTTAGTGTACTAGGAAAGAGTTGAATAAATTGTGTGTGAGACTTAAGACTGCTGAAGTTACTCTGTGCATTGCAAACAAAATAAAAGCTCTGTTTTCTAATTATAGTTCTAATAAGACAGCTAATTGAGAAATTCAAACTGCAAAATCTTTGTGTAGGTGAATGGAATGTAGATCTCATAGGCATGTTGATAAATGTAACAGACCATTTAAACAAAATTTAGAAAATATGTTTAGATTAATAGCTTTGTTGAAATGGAAGCAAGAGACCTGTAGGAATAAGGATATTGTACTGCCTTTGTAAGTAAAGACTTGTAGATGATCTTGGTAGTTTGGTCTAGTAGAGCAGTGGTCTCCAAACTTTTTTGATCGCGCACCCCTATCAGTAAAAAAATTTTGAGCACGCACCCCCTGCCGCGCCGGAGGGCCGGCTCTACCATTTTTGCCACCCCAAGCAAAAAAACAAACACGCTCGGACTCCCGCCCGAACTGCCGAAGCAAAAAAAAAATGCCACCTGAACTGCCGCACCCCAAAGGATCCTCTTGCACACCCTCTGGGGTGCGCACACCCCACTTTGGAGACCATTGTAGTAGAGCATAACACTGGTTTCTATTTCTGGCTCTGCCACTGACTGACTGTGACACTTCAAGCAAGTTGCGTAATTACTGTTTGTTTACGTCCATGTAAAATGGAGATAACACCTCCATGGGGGGTTGTGATGCTTAATTGCTTGTAAAACGCTTGGAGAACATTAGAAGTACTATAGAACAGCAAAGTGTTATTGTTGGCACTTAGCTCTCAGAACACTTTTGTGTATTGAGTTGGGAGAGCAAGACAATGTAACAAGGGCAGCTTGACGATATTCCTAATTATCAGACCTTAAAGTATGTTCCCTTTTTTCTTTTCTTTTCTAGACTTTATATTCAGAGCACCCATCAAATTATGCAAACCAGGGGAATTGCGTGAGGAATATGAAAGCCAGCTGAGGAAGGTATAGTATTTTGTTTAATTGTGACTTTCTTCCAGAGGAACTTGGAATCCTTACTGATATGCCTGCTTACCTATATGGAGAATTCTAAGCATTATTTTCTTTTCTGAAACAAAGGTCATTTATCCCTTCCTACCATTCAGTCAATTCAGGAAAATGTTGGCAGTTAGCTGGTTCCAGAACTACTGACATCTTAGGCCATGTCTACACTACAAACTTTGGTTGACACAAGTTACGTTAGGGTACAACCTCCAAAGTTTGTATATCACTCATGCGAATGCATACTTGGCTGCTTGAATCAGCGCTGCGCGTGTTCACCAGGAGTGCTTGTGTGGATGAAAAAGGCTACGCGCCATGGGTAGGTATCCCAGTGTGCCATGCACGGTCATCTGGGGCAATGCCTTTTGGAACTTTTTGCAGTGGGTTGTGGAGTACAAATGAGTCTCCCAGAATCTCTGGGAGCTAGGGGTCAAGTTCCCAGCCTGCAACTTTCTCTATCCCATAATGCCATCCATATCCCATAACTTTCTCACCCTTGTTTTTTTTTTTTTTTTAAATCTCTCAAACTTGTGCGGCACTTTTCAGTGTTCGCCATCTTTGACAGAAGCATAGAGCCCGCAGACCTCTGTACTATTCTCACGAACGCAGCAAATACAGGACACATGATCCTCTTGTGTTTGCAGACCTGCTGGAAGTGCTGCACCAATGGTGGACATGATTTCTTTAAGGACAGTTTGCTGAAGGACATAGCAAAAAACAATTCAAGGTTGTTAGTGACCGTCACAGAGCAGCTTCAGCTGGTGGAGTGCTGCTTCTGGGCCAGAGAAACAAGCACTGGGATCGCATCGTAATGCAGGTTTGAACAATGAGCAGTGGCTACAGAACATTCAGATGCGAAAGGCCACATTCTTGATTTGTGTGCTGAGCTCACTCCAGCACATGAACACCAGAATGAGAGCTGGATTGATAACTGAGAAGCAAATGGTAGTTGCACTGTGGAAGCTTGCAACACTTGTTTTCTACAAGTCAGTGGGAAATAATTTTGGAGTAGGAAAATCCACAGTTGGGGCCGTTATCATAAAAATGTGTAGGGCCATTAATTGTCTCCTGCTATGTAAGGCTGTAACTCTCAGCAATGTGTAGGCCTTAGTGGATGGATTTACAGCAATGGGGCAATAGATGCACGCACATCCCTTTTGTAGCACCTTGGACAGAGTACGTCATTAGAAAAGGCTACTCTTCTATGGTTATGCCAGCATTGGTGGATTACCAGCAATGCTTCACCAAGATCCGTGTGGGCTGGTCCAGGAAGGTGCAAGACTCTTGCATCTTTAAGGACAGAGGACTGTTCAGAAAGCTGCAAGCAGGGACATAAGTTCCCAACCCATCAGATTAGCATTAGTGATATTGAAATCCAGGAGTCATTCTGGGGTAGCCAGAGTAGCCCTGGCTCAAGAAGCTGTGTGCTGGCCATCTCGACAGTATCGAGGAACTATTCAGCTACCAGCTCAACAGGTGCAGAATGACAGTTGAATGTGCTTTTGATAGATTGAAGTAACATTGGTAGTGTTTATTCACTAAATGGGATATTTTTCTCCCTGAGATCCAAATGATTATAGCTACCTGTTGTGTCCTGCATAATATCTGTGAGGCAAAGGGGGAAAAAGCTGCCTTCAAGGTGGAGGTGGAGCTGGAGCGGCTGCCTGCTGACTTTGAACAGCCAGACACAAGGGGCACTAAAAGGATTCAGTGTGGAGCTATGCCGTCGAGGGAGGCTTTGAAAGAGCACATGAACAGTCAGCAACAGTAATGTTCTCGGGCCTGGAGCTTTGGGTGCTGCTAAGAATTGTGTAGTGATTGCTGTACATCTATAAACAACTGTTTTCCTGAATCTGTTTTATGTGGTCCTTCCTGTTTGTTTACAAGTACTGTGTGTTTTGAGTACTGCTATGCATTCTGCAGCATGCGTTGTGAACTAATAAAAATAACTGTATTCTCCTCAAATAGAACTTCGTTGAGTGGCAAAAACAGTGCAAACATGCAAGAAACGGGTAAAATTTGAACATAAATTTAGAGAATTGAAATTTAAAATTGGAAAGGCAGCAAACAAAGATTTCAGTGCACAAATGTAGTCCGTTGTGGCTACATACACTGACCTGTGAGAACCACTGCTGGTGTGTATGTGAAGCTGTGGTTTTCCTTCTTGTTCCCCGGAGTGGAGTGAGAGGGATAAGGATCCTGGCCCATGATGCCATGTGGAATGTTGAGGGGTATAGGGAATTGCTACCATGGAGTTCTCCAAGGTCAGCAAAGAGTGGGGATTCCTGGGATTTTTTTTTTTTTTTTTTTTTTACCTTTTGGTCCACCAGGGTCTGCATCATTTGTGTTTGCTGCCTGGGAAGACCCATTATGTGCTGGTGCATCTCCCTTTTCTTTTCCTGCTGGCATTCCTGGACCTTTCTCCTGTCTGCCCTTTCCTTCTCCATGCTCTCAGCCATGGTGTCCCTCCAGGCCTTTTGTTTGCAGACCAATGCAGTACTGGCTTGCAGAATCTCATTGAACATGGCGCCTCTAGTCCTCTTCTTTTCCTCCTCATCAAAATCAGGCATTCTGCAAATGTGAAGGGGGCATCTCTCAAGGCTGCCACAGCAGCAGCTACAGACAGACGTACCATTGGATTTACAATAATTGTGGAAAGGGAAAGATAAGTGTCAGAACTCACTTTTCTTATTCCCATAAACACTTTTAAGAAGACTTGCTTATTGACACTTCATCTTTGGAATGCCTCACCACAGCACTGGTTGCCAGCCCCAGCCATAGTGAATATGGCCCACCAGGGACAAGGGTGGGGAAGAAAAGTATAGGGCGATGGCAGTCAACATTGGCGTTATTTTCCACAGGTAGTGGTGGGGTTAGCTGATACCTCACTTCTGAGAGTCACAAAGGCACAGGGAGCACAGCAGGCATCCTGAAGACTCCAGGCCTGTATGCTGCTAGCTCGTTTACTGCAATGATGCTAGCTGGATTCATGGTGGGGTGGGGTGGGAAAGTATCTCAGAGAGAGAAATAAGGCGGCCATCTCTAGAAACCTTTCGGAGAGGATTGCACAGTCTCCATGAAAGTTTTTCATGGATATGTCTCAGGAGATGCAAGGGACACTCCTATGTACATAAACTGCTGTGCCCTGTGCCCCCCTTCTCCACCTGCCTAAACCAACAGGGGAATGAATATCAGATGCCAATTCTACATCTGTTTGTTGTACCTCTACCTCTTCTCATATGAGTAAAACCGTGCAAAGTTGATACCTGTGTCTTGTTAATTTGGGGCTGGGTTCCATTTTTAAATTTAAACATTGTAAGGAAAAATGGATGCACACACTTACCTGAGGCCCCTTCCCCTTCCTTGCGCTCATCCTTGCGCTCAGCTGGTGGAACTGGCTAGACTCAAACAGGTCTTGGCTCGCAGCATAGCCGGACCACCCCATCGCATCTCTCCTCCTCTCCTCTTGGCTGTTCACAGCAGGGGTCTCTGGCTTTCCTGAGTTGTCCACGGTGGTCAGCAAGATACTGGTGGAGTCTCTACCATGTATGGCACGCAGCTTGTTGTAAAAGCAGCAGGTCTGCAGCTCAGCACCAAATCAGTTGTTGGCCTCCCTGGTCTTCTGGTATACCTGGCGCAGTTCTGTCACTTTCATACTGCATTTCTGCTGATCCTCGTCGTACCCCTTTGCCTTCCTCCCCTGTGCAATCTGCTCTTAAATATCCATGTTGCTGTGGCTGGTCCATAGCTCTGCTTGCATAGCCTCTTCACCCCAAAGACCCAGGAGATCCCATACCTCCTGTCTACTCTTAACCAGAGTGCATCTAGTGCATGGAGCTGGCGTGGTTGGTTGGGCAATTGCACTCAAGAAGGGAGAGTTGCTAGGTGTGCCCGCCAAGGTGGTCAGTCAGGAAAAAGCATTTCAAAAATACTCATGGGGACATAAAGCAGGGATGGCTTCAGGTCTCTGTGACCCCTGGGCAGTAGAGTGTACAATTGTGACCAGAACCGTCACTGTCACAAGGAATGGGGCATTGTGGGATAGCTGCTGGAGAACTGTTAGGGTTGCACTTGCACTGATTGACCCCAGTAGGTCAATCGTGGTTCCATTCCATTAAGGGAGGTGGTTTTACTATATCACAGTACCAAGGCACTTACATTGGCTGGAGGTGAATTTTAAGAATAGACGTGCAAATAGGTCAATGCAAGGCAACATACGTCCATGTAACTTTGTAGTGTAGACCGGCCTTCAGTTGCCTTCCAAAAGGTGAAAATGTACCTGCTTGGTGCAGTTCTACCATCTTTGTTATATAGGTTTATAGAAGAATGAGCTATGGTGAATGTAATAGGTTTGCAAAGCCAGTTGCAGTAAAATCTCCCCCTTCCCTACTATAACTCTTTCAGAATCTTAATCCGTCAAACTGAAGCTTTCAATGCTTGGTCTTAGCCAAAAGATGAACTCAAAAAATTTGAGGAGAATCCATTCAGCCCTTTTGGACTTAAATAACCTGTGTGTGGGTGTTTTCCCCTTTTTTTAAAAAAGCAGCATTTTTTACACACACATCACTGAAATGACTGAACTCTAACCCTAAATATCTCGTGTGGCTAGTCATTATTCTAGAAATAACATAATGGGGCAGTGACTGCTGTAGTTAAGCTAGGATAATAGTTTCCATTCTAACCCCTCCACCCCTAGTTCTGAGTTATTCATAACTTTCTGAAACTTTCATTTTTTCCAGGCATAAGCCCAGATCCTATAATCAGATCTGCTAGTGTGGACGCATGCAGAACCCTGTTTATTTCAACAGGGCTCCACACAAGAGCAAGGGCCTCTGACAACAGATCCATTTGCTGGATTGGGGCTGCGCGAAGGTGGGATTTTTGGGTGTTTTGTGGTTGGTTTATTTATTTTACTTTTTATTTTTTTGGTAAAGCTTGACCAAAAGTGGTTTAGCTGTTTTTGA